TTTTTTTTTTTCGTTAAAATTTGTTTATCATCACCTATTATATGTATATTATTATTGAATTATTAAATAATATAAAATAATGGTTTTTTTTTAAATTTTATAATTGTTTTTAGACCCTCGTTGCTTTAAAGCCCACCTAAGATCTTAGGATCAAGGAGGTGGCTGAAAAACAGCGCTGTCTGCCACAACGACGGTCCCAGGCAGCACAAGCTGAGACACCTATGGCCCTCTGACATGTTTGGCGTACCGCTTATTGTTTGTTTATGTCTTGACTATTTTTTTTTGTCCATCCTCTAAGGCTTAACATGTTATTTATGTTAAAAAGTGTCATTATTGCAATAAATGATATTTTTATTTGTATTTGTAACTAATAATTGTCCATACAGCCAAGAACAAATCAATCGTGATACTTTAAGCCGTTCTTATCATTAGCGTTATATAATAGTTGAATTTAAATCACAAATGTCAAACTTGACGCTCTTGACCCTGAACGATATATATATGACCGATAACAAATTACACTAGCAAAATGAACCTTGTTTCCCATTGTCCGGTTGACCGCGCACATGTCGTATAAGGAGCTGAAATAATTCTGCAAACTTCAAATAATATTTTACCACATACGACCCGAAAGAAAATAGACCTTTTTGTTACACCGTGCATATAAAAACGTAATTATAATTACGTCAATCATTCGTATGCCTGAAAAACAGAATCCATATTTCCGGCACTCACATGAGCTTGAAATACGATGTATTCACAACAAATTGGTTGTCTTGCTTTCATAGAAATATTCCAGGATGTAATGAGTTTCCGTCTCCTCAAATAAATACGTATTCTGATAACATACGTTAATTGGTATTCTGATAATTATTCCTAAAGTATAGTTATTGGTAGTTATTCAATAAAGATGTGTATTGAAACTATGTATGTTTATCTATATTGTAAATTTTTTTTGGAAAAAAAAAACATTCAATGTGCCTAGAATACTCTCAGTAATTTATTCTTTAGTATGTTTCGTGATAAACGAATGCTTTGCCAGTTAAAAATAGTAACATGACTTTTACAATCTGTAATTACATTAAATTCGCGAAACAACCTACAATTAATGAGTGATTTTGTTGGAACAATATTATTTATGTATCTTTTGGTGTTCTTTTTTAACCGACTTCCAAAAAGAACGGAATTCTCAATTCGACTGGATTACTACGACATTTGGGAACCGATTTTTTTTGTTAGAATGGAGGAAATGGGGGGGGGGATGGAACTACTTCAGTATAGCGGTCCCGTTCCAATTTGAAAAAAATATTCGACCTTTAATGGCGGGAGAATAGGGGATGAAACCGTTTTTTGGATTTCTGATCTGACTTGACAAAAAATTTAATTTCACAAACTCGTTAGGTCGGTTTCTTTTAATAAAAATGTTATAATTATTCCATTTTTCATGGGACTTATCAACTTATATCTCAGGGTGACGGATGCAGTGGCAGTGCTTCTCAGATTTTTGTGATTTAAAACTCTGAGTGGCACTGCAACTGTTTTGGACAGACGTGCCGCTTCCTAGGTACCAGGTGCACGACTTCTTCGTCCCGTCACTTGATATTATAAAAAAAGGCCATCGTGACGTTACGTAATGCCATCCTATTTACACAAAATAATGGCAATTAGCTGGATTTAGTTACACTACTCTGTGATATTGAGAACACCAATGAAATTGTTTTTAAACTATATCAAGATTTATTTGAAGCCACCAAGTAGATACATGTCGAAACTACAAACGAATGACATTGACTAGTACTGATCAACAATAATACGTAAAAACTTTTCATGGGCTAAATAGGTCATACAGTAATTACACTTTTACTCAGCAATACAAGTTATTAAAAAAAGACAAAGAAATAAAACAAAATTTTACTTACAACAAGACATTATAAACCAACTACACTCACTTGAAGTCGCACTAAAAGTAAACAAGCCGGCAACTAACAACCGGTCACCGACATCAGTGACATCGTAAACTGTTTACAAGCGATAACGATTATATAGTCATCCTTGTCTAACATATAGATAGAGAAAATTGTGAAGTTATTTTCTATCTCTATCTTTACATAATTACCTACCATTTAGCCTTTAAATTTAAAACTTGTCTGACAAGTACGCGTATGCAGTACTAGACGAATGTTTAGTATCTACTAATTCTTATAGAATAAATTGTAAATGATAATTTTGTTAGTCATGATCAAATAGTCCTCTTTTTAACCGGCCTCAAATAGGAGGAGGTTCTCTAGACTGTTTACGTGTACACTGTTTTGTGTGTATACGCGATTACATTTCGATGCCTTACTTTCTCAAACACGTATCTTTAAAGAGTGATTATTCAGGAGATGGCAAAACTTTCTATTTATTTTAAATTTCTTATCAAGGGTCGTAATTTGGATCCATTACTTTAAGAATACGTAAAAGCTAGTGCGTGAATATGAAGGAAATATTTGCGACATCAACCAGCAAAATTTGTATATACAATGCATTTTTTGCATTTTAGTAACTTTGTGCTTTAAGATATCAGTTTGAGAAAGTAAGTGGACGACTTGTGAATCGATTTTGACGACTCTTTTTTTATTGGAAAGGAGGTTCCTCAGCAGTAGTTCCATTAAAATTTAAGGAAAATATTCTACCACTAAGAATGGCAAATAGAACGAAAGAAAGAAAGAAACATTTATTCAGCTTATTAAGACTTTGAAAAATAAAATTGATGATTACATTATAAGCTGAAACGGTCCAAGTAGTATACGTCACAAGCTCGACTGCTGTTGCTTTTCAGTTGAAGCCGCTTTTATAGGATAAGATGGCACGAAAGTATTAGTTAACACTAAAATTATGACTTGAATTGCTGGTGAAATTACAGGCATATGGAACTTGTCAACTTACGTCTCAGGGTGACGGGTGCAGTGGCAGTGCCCCTCAGATCTTTGTGACTTAAAGCTCTGAGTGGCACTGCAACTTTTGAAAAGATGACATGGATAAGAAAGGTGTGAGTATAAAAATGACGGCTGATAGGGGAGAGTGGAAGAAAAATACATGTTGTGCCGACCCCACCTAGCGTGGGATAAGGACAGGAAGAAGAAGAAGAATACCTATAAAATTGATGGAGCAGTCGATAAATAGTGCTCCTTAACTCTCATTTTGAAAATTGCTAAGGATTTACTATTATGAACAGTAATGGGAAGTGTATTCCAAAGTCTGACTGCGTGAACAGTGAGTAAAAACCGGAACTGAAGGATGGAAAAGACAACTGGGACCTAACGAGAGAGCCACAGGGCTTATTCTGGCACCTAAGAAAGCTGAAACGCTCTTTTTGATACCTGGGAGACAGAGGGTTGTGCAGAATATCATAGATGTTATGGTAACCTAGAACTGATCTGATAATGGAAATGGCAAACAGATGACAGGAAGTCCTTAACAGTGTATAGCTGCTACCTTGTGTTTGGGCCCATAACATACGTTTTGACGAGACTTTTATCCGTTTCAAAATTGTCGTTGAGCAGGCCGCGGCAATGAGCACAGCGACAGCGTTATTCACAAAGATTTTACGTCGTTTTTTGTTACAAAAAACTCATTATTTAGTCAAGTAAATGTAAAAAGCCAAGAAGAAATAACAAAGAGTACCTAGAAATATCGTTAGACTTTAAGGAAGTGTTTTCACTATAGCTATTTCATATTCTTATGTCAATAATATCCACTTAATTGTTTTTTATTAAATGACTTTTATAAATACACTATTATTTTTACCTATCTAATTAACAATTTTCGACGGCCTCTGTGGTCGAGTGGCTTGCACACCAGTTTTCACGGTGTCACCATCTCTGAGGTCCCGGGTTTGATCTGCGGCCGGGTGAGTGTAGAAAAACAACTTTTCTATATTGTCTCTGGGCACTATGAGTGTTTGTGGTACCATCGTGTTTCCGATTTCCATAACACAAGTGCTTTAGTTACTTACTTTTTGAGCAGAGCAACGTATGTGGTGTTGTCTAATATTTATTTATTTATTTAATTAATTTTATAATTAGAATGACACACAATGAACTGTATGAATATTGACAGTATATTTAGAGCTGTAAGTTTTATTCTAATTGCATAATCTTTGTTTGAATAGAACAACTAGCAATTATCATGGTACTCTGGCGGATTATATTACAGTACATTATGATTGTTGTGCGTTTGAAAAGTGATATACTGACAAATTAAAGCTACCAACAACCCCCTACTCTAGTAAGAAAACAAAGTAAGTAGACATATGAGAAATAATACTAGGGCAAAAATAATAAGTCTGATAATATATAATAATATATGTAGTTGGCTTTGTCTTTGCTATATGTTGCTTCTCTATTATTTTAAACTTTTATGAGATATTTGGAATACATCAATGTTTCATGAAAGCTTTAACAATAAAAAACATAGGTATATCAATGGTGATAGATAGGCCTAAAATGAGACGCGCTAACGGCATTCGTATAAAAAAACTAATAACTGTTCTAGACGCCCGACTACAATGATTCTGATTAATGTTTACGGTACGTGTGCGACAAAAACAAATTGGCTTTCCCTTTACAAAATACGTGAACAATAATATCATTCAGAAAGCGTCGCGTCGTTAAGACGCGAGGAAGGCGAAGACATAGTACATACGGCACAATAAAATTGTAGCTAAGGAATAAGACAGATACATGGTACATACGTGCTTCGTAATACCAATGTTCCTCTCTGGCTCCTCACAGCTGCAGCCAACGTAATAAGATATACGCAATAATATGGTTATTGTCAATGTTCTATACTACAAAAATCTTTCGTAAACTCACAAACACTTATACAACGTAAAAGTACACTGAAGTCTACCGCCTCAAGAAAACTTTTCTTCTGCCCACTTTATGATTACGATGGTTTTGATCGTGATGACTGTCTAACATAATTCGTTTCAAACTCGCGTGCTGGTGAAATTCGTGCCGAATCGTAATGTGCCTGCTTATATTCTTGAACAGAATATGCCACAAGGCTTTGTCCTTATTCTTCCACAACAAATCTGCAGTCTTCTCCTTAATCCTACGCATATTTTCCTCCAGTCTTCTAGCCTTTATTTCCATTTGTATGAGGGAACGGGTCGTATTTGTCAACAGGCGGTACAGGTATTCTTTTCTTCTCGTTTTCTTTGGCTCTGAGCCGGTCTCGTTTGTCGTGGACTCGTATTCAGTGGTGTTATCGTACTGTTGAATTTTATCGAGAATTTCTTGGTTGTTTTTAGCACGTAAGAGGATTCCGGCGAGGAGCACTGCTATCGCAAAGGATAGGAGCATGAATAGCTTGGTGTGGTTGTAAAGGGGGTTTTGTATGAACTTCATGTCTCATGTTTTTGATATCATTGCAGGGTGCGATAAGTCACGTTGCGTCGGGCTGCATATTTGCGTGGCGATGTAATGAGAAGCGTTTTAAGCAACAAGTCACGTGTCGGAACGGAGCGCGAGCGGCGCCCTCTCGCGGCGTGAGCGAAAACGGCACTGAGTGAAAACACGCCCGGTGCGACGCACCCCAGGAATTTCCCCAATGACTTTTCCTCTTGGATGTGGGAAGGTGTTTATTTGGATGTGACGGACGAATGGTCACGGAATTTATTCATGAAGCGAGCCGTAAACAGTGGGGACTCGACGCCGCGATATTACTCTCTATAATATTATTCCACTCTATTCACTGTTCATATACATATAGTATTTCATTACTATTTTTATTATACAGGAACAGTATTTAATAATCAGTTGATAAGATAAAAAAATGTAGATTGATTATATATAAAGTTATAGGTTTACATAATGTCAAATAACAATATGTTATAATAATTTCTTAATCATATCATTATACATTATACATTATTGTCATTGCATGCTGTCGAAGCAATTAATTTTAAGCTATTATAGATGTTCAATATTTATTTTATGTGTAGTATTTTCTATGTGATTCCACATAGAAAATACGTATATCCTGATATAATATCCTGAATAAAGAAATAAAAAAGTGTTCAATATATGATCGTTTTGAAAAATTTGCAACTTTTAAAACTTTTCATCCCGAAAAATCTGGCTTTATTTTTAATTTAGCTTTTTAATTTATTAAAAATCATAATGTTTCTGCGTAACGTAATCGTAACTAACTCTAAAAGAAAGTAATTTGACTTTCGAACCTCAATGTTACAGTTGACGCGTAGGAGCACTATATAATTTAGAGAGGACACTTGTCTGCCTCTTACCGTGCCTAACATAATGTACGTCTAACTCACTGTCACTACTATTGTTTAAACCCTCGAAAGCCTCTGAAATTTCGCCCTTGGGACAAAAGGTAGAATGGAATTCTTGTAGTCTACTGTACTCTTCAGTAGAATGAAATTTGTTGACGAAATTTAACAAAAGGTTGCCTGAAAATATTATCCTTTAGAAAATTTTGTACTATCATAAAGGGAGCACAGTATTACAAAAAAGTACATTGGTCAATTGTGTTTAACTTTGGGAAAAAATCACATAATGACAGATATAACTAGTTATAAATAGTTAGATAGAATTATAAAGCAGGAACGGTTACTTGAACAGCAGAAAGCGACATGAAATGGGTTAGAGCTGTTACACACGGCGACTTTCGATGCAAACGCGCGACTGCGTCGATACAAACGCGCGATTGCATCGATGCAATCGCCTATAAATCCCAAGTGTAGCGATGCAATCGCGCGTTTGCATCGCTGCTTAAAATCTCGCGCGTGTGTAAAGTTAAACTTAGACGATTAGCGACTACATCGCTACTGCATCATCTAAGTATCATTTAAGTATACAGTATGTTAGTAGGTACGTTTACTGCCTTCTGGAAGAAAGACATTTTTAGGCTGAAAACTTTTCTACAAGGTAAATTTGAAGAAAAAAGCATTAAACTCAGAGGTCAGTAAATAGCGGACGTTGTGTAAAATGTTTACTTTAATTACGTTAGAAATTGTAATACTTAGACCACAATAGTAGGGAACATAAATGTTAAGCTAAAATTTACGTTTTTCATCCCCTATTTTGTCGTATCTAATTTCAATTTCTGTCTCCCATAATTCGCTGCATAGTCGATATCGCAAAAACAAAAGGCAATCTTCGCGATTTTGACAATAATTCTAATAAAATCGACCCTTCGGTTTCTGTTGTCTCAGTCCAGCTGCTAGCGAACGATAAGCGACCCCCTTGTTTTTAAGTTCGCCATCTCGGATTGATTTTTGAACTGAGAAGAGTATAAAATATTTAACAGCAACCTCTATAAAACGCATTACAAGTTTATCGAGAAGCCGATACATTGAGTATCGATTGCGAGCTCTTACCACAAACAGGTTCGCAGACGCTTTTTTAGTTTTTCTTTATTCAGCGAAATTGAGTCTCGATGTTACATCAGTTTGTATAGTTGAAGGTATTCCTTTAAAGCATGCGATTCAATGCAAATGGTGTCTTATGTCACTCTAGTAATTTTCATTACTACGGTACTCTTAGTACATGATATTCCATACTGTGAGACAAGGAAAATTTTTAAATCTTATACAATAGCAATACTTCTCTGGACAAACTCTTTCACAAATAGCTCTACTGCTTCCAAAATGAAAAATTTTTTCAAACAACATTCAGAGTCTTCATTTTATCGATATTTCAATATTCTCTTCTATACGACGACTGAATATGTTCACTTACTACACGAATATGTATAAACTTTATAATACAATTTAAAGTTAAAGGCTAGATGGGTGGCTGTGTATGGTGAACGTTTGAAGTTTTGGTTGAGGATGAATAACCGTCTTCTGTTAACTATTAGTAAATGTTACTTGCTTGTTAATTATATGGAATAAATTAATAATAACGTTTCGTGAAGGAAATTTAGTAAAGAAATGGTTATCGCAGTTACTACGCCTTGGAAACAAAAATGTTTTTTCGGATGTAAATCGATTTCATTTGTTTTTTTTTCTAACATTCAACATGGTCACGACTTTCATACAAACGTTAGTTTGTTTGAAAAAATGAATACACGCGATTTATATCCAAAAAAAATATTTTCATTTGCTAATACTCTCGAGATTTTTTAATTATAAAAACCTAGGAAAACTAAAAGAAAGTCTCAAAGCAAAAAAAACACTGTTAGGCCCTAATCCAGAAAACATAAAAATGCAAATACAGAAAATGGTGGACATGAAATGGAAACAAACCATCTTGGTATCAAAATGTAACAATTTTAAACTGGTAAAACCAATCGAGCCAAGAAAATTTACTACAAACATTTCAGATACGTAAAAGCAATATTTTAAGTAAAGTTATGTAAAATGCCTACGCACATCTTTCACCTAACACGGTAGTCTTCCGAAACCGATTAGTAGACGTTGCAAGGGGGAGGTTGTAATCGAGTATGTTTTGTCAATTAGACTTCCACTCGGGGGCTCTAAATTCCCATTTGCCTCAGACCTGTCTCTGTGATTATCCTTTTAGAAGGGGTCTGGCGGAATTTATGTTTTCCGGTTAACTCCATTAGGGTTGATCGATAAATGTAGGCGAATGTTTTCAGGTCATTACAGATAAGGTAAAAATAGAGTAATTAAATAGATATAAATCAATGTATAATTGACCATTATTTCTCGTAAATTAGTGCCATGTAATATTTGGACAAAAACGCTATTTTCTGTATTCACGTGTATAAAAAAGTTACAGTGCCCTAATATGGAGATATGTTACATCATCAATATCTTTTCCGTTATTTTATTATTATACGGTACCATATTCAAACACACACTTACTTCTAATTTTGGATAATTATTATTTCCCGAGAAATTTCAGATGGCGTAAATTATTCAAAATATTTTTCCGAAAAAACACAAAAACAAAAGAAAAACTAGTTTTCTTTAAAAATAAATTCTGTCCACTCGTATACAGGGTGTGAATTTGAGATGCAGCAGCAAGGCCAGCTACCTTAATCGCTGTAGTTACAGGAAAACGGTTCTAGAAGACTATCCATGAATTTTGAAGATATTTTGAGTGGCATTAACAGATTTTGAAAAAATGGGACAGTCAGCAGGATAAAAGGCAATTTTACAAAACTTTTTTTTGTGCCATTCGACCCGGTCTCGGGATAGTATCTATGGGACCAACTGAAGTAAAAGTACTTGAAATGTGGGAAATCGCAAAAAACCTTTTACCGCACATTTTCAATGAAAACTATATATAACAACGAGAAAAACTTATATAATAAATAATAGAAAAATTCATATGTACCTTCTAGTCCTCAAGGGCACCCTTTACGGGGACCTCTTGACCACGCCGCTACGTGATGGGGTTTTGATTTATCCCTTGTAGGGGTGAAGTGGCACTTTAACAGTCCAGGTGGTCTTTGCAAATTACGTCCTCCGACTTGTCCAACAAGGCAATTATACAATCTCGGGTGAAATTCCGACAATGTGAACGATTCAAGGGAACATTTGTCCTAAACATATTATAGTAAAGAACTATAATTATGAAGTATAAAATAGACTACGTATGAAATACAGATTTTGTTTCAGTTATCAAGATAAATTTTAAATAAAACAGGTAAAAATGGCATGTAAAGTAATATTAATTTTATTACCATTCATGTGACTAGGCCCTAATAGGATTTCCTAGAATTTAGTGGTTATAATTGAGAAATATTGCAGAGAGCCGGACATCAAAAATCATCTGATTTTTGATGTTCGAGTTCGGGTTCGATTCCCGGGCCAGAAGAAATATTTGTAAGGTCTACATTTATTTCTCTTGTGACTTTGGGTGTAATTTGTGGTTGTCTATGTGTGTGTCCAGGGCACCCGCGATACAAGTTTTCTCTAGTAGGCTATGAGTGTGTGCGTTATTGTTATTATCATTTTCAAAGAGTCGTTATGGTTCACACAGAAACACACACACACATTTATGTTATACAAAGTTTTAATTATTTTTTCACAATGTCAGGCCAGGTTTTAAGAAAACTTAAGTATCCTTCTATTGAAACATTTACAAATCGCAGGAAAGTAAGCGACGACGAAAAAAACGCAAAACTTTGGTCATTACGTCTTGAGTGTAAAGTTTCTTTAAGGTATATGGAAATGGTACTTCTATAGTAAATTCTTGTGCAAGCATTAATTCTGTTGAACACACGCAATGTTAGCTTCTACAATATATTATTGTGTAAGTACAGTGTTATTCTGAAAAATTACGTTAAATAATGTTGTTATTATTATGAGATATATTTTAAAATAATAATGCCAAGTGATTGGACCAACATGTCGTGCGCCTGTTGGTGAGCGAGACGACTGTCCAACAGTTGCAGTGCTACTCGGTGCTTT